TTTAGGGTTGGAGACGACTTGGAGGAAAAGGAGGAAGATGAGGAGGATGAAGGGGATGACGAGGAGGAGGTGGCCGAGATAGGGGTGGAGGCATTCACCGCCGCTTCCCGCCCACACGCTCGGTCGACAAACTACACCGAGGCGGAAGATGTCCTCTTGGTTCGTGCTTGGGCAGCTGTGGGAATGGATGCTACCACCGGCACCGATCAAACCGGTAAACTCTATTGGCAAAGGATCGAGGGCGTCTATTGTAGGATCAAGCCGAAGAATAGTGGGTTCATCCATCGCACATTCCGATCGCTTCAAGGCCGTTGGGAGTTGATCAAGCCCGCTTGTTCTCGTTGGAGTGCGGCCATGGACCAAGTGAGGGATGCACCACCTAGTGGAACCGTGGAGAGTGACTATGTAAGTACATATTTCTTCACTTTTTTGATTATGTGTGTGCACTATGCTATTGATGGGTTCTTATGTGATTTATGTGTGGTTGATAGGAGACAATTGCCGGCTTGAGGTACAAGGAGATGGCCGCTTCCAAGGGCAAGCCATTCCCATTTAAGCATGTTTGGTCAATTCTTCAAACCTTTGACAAGTGGAAGTTGAGGGATCAAGAGACCGCACCCAAGAAGTCGGCAATGCTAAGGATGGACGATAGTGAAGATGAGGAGGAGAGGAACGTGGGCAAGCCCGAGGGAAACAAGAAGGGCAAGCTAAGGGTGAAGATGGAAGAAGAGGCGTCAAGCCTAAGGGAGAAGATGGACCACATGATAAAGGCAAGAGAGGAATTGACAACGAAGACATTGGAGATGAAGCTTCTTATCACCGAGAAGAAGAAAGAGGTCAAGCTTGCACAAGTTGAAGCAAAACGTGAAGAAGCAAAGCGCAAGGCCGAGTTGGAGGAGAGGATGATCAAGCTCAAAGAGGCAAAGGTATGGAAAGAACTCATGGTGGAAGAGAAAGAGCACATGATGATGTCCAAGAAGGACATGGATCAAGACCAATTGCAATGGTGGAAGGACTACAAGGAGGACATCGCGGAGAGGAAGAGGATGTTTCGTGTTGCGTCCTCTACTTTTCGAGGTGACACTCCGATGAGTAGTTGTGGTGATGGCGGTGTGTACGACTTCATCGGTGGTGATGGACATGCTTGATGGAGCCCGCTTGTGGTCTAGGAGATGGCGCCAAGGTGCAACTTTTGGTGATGGTGCCGATGAGAGGAGGAAGATGATGATTTTGTGATGTAAACTATTAAACCATGCATCAATGATTGTCATTTGGTAGTTTGTTTGGAAGTTGATTGTGTTCTTGTTGTCATAAATTGTGAGATGCCAAATGATAGATTTAAAGGTTGGGGTTGAGGCAAAGACTAGAACCCTCAAATCCAACCCTTAAAACAGTTTACGGGTTGGGTTTGAGGGTTCTAGTATTTGCCCCTGTTTTTCAACCCTTAAAAGTGTCAAAAAGTGGCACTTCTCAACCCTTAAAAGTGCTTTGAGGATTTGAGGGTTTGAGGGTTCTACTAGTAATGCTCTAACCCCCGTGCCACCCAGAAGGATCCGGTAAGATTCAACTTTTTCCTTCTTTTATTATTATTATCTTTTCTTCTTCATAGTTCGATGAATTGCTTGCAAATACGTGAAATTTTTCTTCAAGTCGATGATTTTTTTTTAAAAAAATTGCACATTTTTTAAAACCATGAACTTTTTTCAATTTGGTTGAACTTTTTTCAAAATCCATTAACTTTTCTTTAAATTCGTTGAACTTTTTTCAAATTTGATAAACTCTTTTTCAAAATCAATGAACTGTTTTCAAAATCGAAGATTTTTTTTCCAAATTTGATGTTTTTTTCAAAATCGGTTAACTTTAAAAAAATTCTTAATTTTTTCAAATTGATGAACTTTTTTTCATGTTCATGATTTTTCTGAAAATCCATGAATTTTTTTGAAACCTAGAATTTTTTTGTTCTTTGTGATTTTTTTCTGTTTTCTCTCAAATGTCGACGTGTACATGGGCCAACCCACCAGCGCCGGCGCGTGGGTGCCGGAAGCGCCCCCATAGTGGTATCCTAGTAAGACCAGCTGCCTCCAAGTTGGGCCCATAATTTGTATATTTCATTTTTGTTGTGGGCCTCTGCCCTGTTTTTTTTTTTGAACTGTAAGAAATTGTTCTTCCATATGAGGTTGTCTCCAAAGTTTACAAAATATGATTTTTTGGGGGGAACAATTACATCGTTTACTAGTTGGCTAAGTAAAAACCCCGAAGGTTCATTGGCCCAACTATCGTCACAACTATTATAAAAATTGAACTTAGCTAGCTCATGAGCGACAAAAATTGCATCACGAAAAGAATGCTTAAAGATGACCTTCCCTATTAACCACAAAATATGAGTTTGTGTAGTTGTGTTCTACTCCCTCTGTCTCATAATATAAAAGCGGTTTTTACACTACACAGATGACCTTATTCCCAGGTTTATTATGAATGTGTATGGTCCTCCTCGAAGAAGAATATTTATAGTCCTGCATATCCAGAGTTATGAATACGGATTTGCTATTTTACAGTCGACTGTTTTTCAATTCGTTGACATTCAAATCTCTGTCCGTTCGATCTCGCGTTGAGATTCACGCTCGGTCCTGTTTGCTTTGTGTCGGTTTTTAGGTCGGGTTTTTTTTATCGGGCGCGGTTTTTTTGTTTCCGCCCATTTTCCTCGGCTCCTCCTCGCCCGGCCGGGTACTGTTGGCTTTTGTCGTTTTTGAATTTAGGAGCAGGGTGTCGTTCCCCATTTCCATTCCGACAAGGCAGAGGGGAGAGGTCGAGCGGCGGAGGAGAGGAAGGCGATTCCTTGTGTTCATGGCGATTTCGAGCTCATCCACGGCAGGATACTGACTTCTTCCTCTTGTTTCTCGTCGTCCGCGGCTGCTCTGGTTGGTTGTCCCCTCTCTCGCGCGCTTTTTGCCCGTGGTTTTCGTGCCTTTGTAGTTTCAGATCTAGGTGATTTCGCGTATCCGCGGGCTGCGCATGTTGCTGTCGCGGTGTCGCCTTTGGGGTGTGCGCGTGAATTTCTGGTAGGAGCCTGGAGTGCGCCACGGGCAGTTTTCGCCGTGATCCCGTGTGTTGTTGTTGTGGTCTCACACGAAATCCCTCCCCCCTGCGGTTGTTTGGTTCTTGTTGTTGATGTGTAGGTAGGCGTAGAGGCTAGTTTTTCTGCAGTTGATGCTGAGGTAGGCGTTGTAGGCGTTAGTTTTTAGCGGTGGATCCCGTAGCTTGTCCCTGAATAGTTCCTGTTTGTAGCCCCAGAATTTTGTCATGTTAGTCTCGTTTTCTACCATGTTGTTGCTCATCCCGGATGTTTTACTGAACATCTCTATGTATTTTGCTCCTTTTGTTGTGCATTTTCCTGAATTTCGTGCTTGTTTTTTAGTGTTTTCTCCATAATAGGAAGTGTATGTAAGATCAAGGGTCTGCAGTGGTATGCGCATGAAGTTCTGCTGTGCATTTTGTCTACCTTCATCTCTGTGCAGTTGACCTATATGCATCTCTATGCTGTAGAACTTCACTGCTTGCTTATGTGCCTCATGTAGCTTTGCTGTACTTTCTTCTTTTTTAGTTAATATTGTACCCCTTGCAGTATTTTGCCCAGTGTTTATGTTGTCATAGTTGATGTGCAACTTGCTCCCTAATTAGTGTGTGGGTATTGTATCCTTTGGCCTTTGTAAATATTGTATCCTTTGGCCCTGTTCTAGTCTGTAATACCCCTCTTGTTCTTCACTATGCATGTGTAGTAGCACTGCCTTTCTTCTTAGTGTGATTGATATTGTATTTTTTCTTAATTTTTATTTGATGTATCTCTGACTTAGACTGTACTTCCCCTAGTTTTCTTTTGATGTAGTTGTATGCCCGATGAATTTTTGTAATGTATTTTTTGAAGTTCAGTGTATTTCCCTGGAGTTTTACACTGTAATTTGTGTGGGTGAGGAATGTAATTAACCATATGGCTTACACTGCAACTAACCATAGTGCTTACACTGTAAATTAGCAGAGTTTTCCACTGTAACTAACCATATGGCTTACACTGCAACTAACCATAGGGCTTACACTGTAAATTAGCAGATTTTTCCACTGAAACTAACCATAGGGCTTACACTGTAAATTAGCAGAGTTTTCCACTGTAATTAACCATAGGGCTTACACTGTAAATTAGTAGAGTTTTTCACTGTAATTAACCATAGGGCTTACACTGTAAATTAGTAGAGTTTTTCACTGTAATTAACCATAGGGCTCACACTGTAAATTAGCAGAGTTTTCCACTGTATTTTGTGTTGATGAGGACTGTAATTTGTGGTTTGGGCTTAGCTTGTATTTTTCATAAGGCTTACGCCGTAATTGAGTAGAGTTTTACACTATAATTTTTGTTGGTGAGGACTATATTTGTTGTAGGGCTTACAGTGTAATTGTAAAGTGTATTTTTCCTGTTGGGCTTACACCGTAAATGAGTAGAGTTCTACAGTGTAATTTGTGTGGGTTGGGACTGTAATTGTACAATGTATTTTTCCTATCGGGCTTAATCTGTAAGTCAATGTAAATTCGGCGTGACTTGTCCTGAATTATTTCTGTAATATGACGCAAAATTACAGTGTAATTTCACTTTATTTTTTTCAGTGGTGTTACAGTGTAATTTCGCCCTTAATTTACTGTGTAGTGGCTCTGTAGTTATGATGCACTTTTACAGTGTAATTTTACCCCTAATTACAGTGTATTTTCGGCCATAATTTTTGTACTGCTATCTGCTGTTTTTTAATTTCTGTAAACTGATGCTCTTTGATTCACTGTAACTTTTACCTACAATTTCTTTGCGTTTTGCATTGTAGTTACTATGTGACCCCATATTTTTTTGCAGTGTTTTTTCCTCTTAGGTTAATGCTGTAAATTTGCATAGGTTTGACACTTCCACTTTAGTCTCTTTAATTGAGCCCCATTTGCTCTCTTGTTTTTCAGCTACTAACTCAATGGGAAGACTAGGGAAAGCCTGTCCCAAGGATGTCCCGCTTGTTTCTTCAGTTGAGAGTGCTGATTCTTCAAAAGAACCTTTCGTGCCTAACGATTTTGCTGATGATAATGTTATGTCTTTGGTAGTTATTTTTGTCTTATTATCATATCTTTTTTTTCTTCTCATTTTTCCTTGCATTAATACTATTTGCTTATTTGTCTGAACTTCTTCTTTGTCAGAATTCTTCTGGTGATGATGAAGAGCTTGGCAAAGCACTTTACAATTTCTATGTGAAAAATGTAAGTGTTTGTCTGATCTAGTTTTTTTTCTTATTCTTTTGTTGGTTTGATGTTTATCTATTTGTTTTGTGCAGAAAGTCAAGCACCTGAAGAGGAAATTGTCTTCTGTTAGTAGAAGGAATGTTGTAAGTCTCTTTTGCTCTTCTCGTATTATATGTTCCATGTTCTTTTGCTAGGGATTCCCCCCTGTATCTTCAATTTATTTTGGTTTATTAATGTATTTCTTATTTTATTTTTTTGTAGAGGCAGAAACGATCTTCTGATTTCCCTGTTTGTTCGACGTTCACTCGATACTCTGGAAAGTTCTTCTCGGGAGTTGTTGATGGCATGTGTTCTAGGTACAAGGATGTTATTCAGACGTATGGCATGGGTTGTCTCCTTAATTTTGTCCGGATCGAGGTTCCTCTTAGGCTAGTTAAGTGGCTTGCATCTAGGTTCGACGTTCCTGCTTTCGAGTTTCAGTTGAAAAGGAAATTCATACCCTTAACTAAGTATGATATCCATGACATCCTTGACCTCCCAGTAGATGGTGAGCCACTTGTTTCAGATCCTGAGGCTGGTCGTGATTTTATCCTCTCTCATTTCAATCTTACTAGTATCCCACCAGTGTCCTTTTTTGCCAACAAGCTTAAATCTGTAGAAGTTGATTTGCTTGATGAGGACGTCTTCATTTGTTTCATGATTGTGGCTTTCTCTACTTTCCTTTGTCCCAACTCTAGCTTCAGTCCTAGTCCGAAGTACCTCCACATCTTTCAGGATTGTCAGTCTGTGCGTTCCTATGATCTTTCTAGTTTTGTTTACGAGTGGCTTTTGAGTAGCATCAAAAAATTCAAGGATGCTACTAAAGTTGCCTCCAAAAGATCAGTGACCTTCGGTGGATGCCATTATGCATTTGCCGTAAGTTTTCTTTTTTCTTTTCTTTTATTTATGTTGTCCTTAATCTGTTTGAATGTTTATTATTTAGTTTAGTGCTAACTTGTTTTTGTTTTGTTATGTGTTTGTTTTTGTAGGTAGCTTACCTTGATCATTTGAACTTTGGGCTTCAGTCTGTACCTGATGTGAAACCTCGTATGCTTGCATGGAGAGGCAACAAAGTCAAGCAATTTGCAGAGCTTGACCGAAACAACAGTCGCTCTTTTGGAAAGAGGCCCCTAAAACGTCCATATGCTCCAACTAATTTGCAGGTTATCTTCTTTTTCTTTTCATGTTTTGTTGTTATTTTTAGTTCATTGTTTCTTTATTCATCCATTTTTACTTTTATGTTTTGCCATGTATTTACTTTTGTTTTTGTTTCAGGGTTCTGTTGAAAAATCCTCAGGCAGTAAGAGTTTTGATATTGGCCCTTCTAATGGTTCTTTTGCAATGAAAGTTCAAAGAACTATTTGCCCTCACTTTGGATCTCAGGTATTTTGTTGTGGTTAGATTGTACTTTTCTGAGCATTTTAATTGTTGCTTTTTGCTGATTTTGTCTCTTGTTCAGACTGCTCTTGAAGTCATTGAGCTTGCTCAGACTAGAAACCAAGACAAACCTAAGATATTCATTGATTGGGCAGAGTCTCTTGTTTTAAATGTTCTGGAATGTGTGTTGAATTCATCTATGCCCAAAGTGTCTGGAAGCGAGCATTAGTCTATGAGCAAATTCTCTTTTGGTTAGTTCATAATCTTTTTCTTTTTTAGTTGCATGTAGCTTTTGTATTTTTATCTTCATTGTTTTAGTGTTATTTTTGATTGCTTGTTCTGCTTGTCATTTATTTGTTTTTGTAGGTAACAAGTCTGTCTCATTTCATTCTGCTATCGCCAATGGTGTTTTTGCTAAATCTGATGGTATTCCAGAGGTTGCTATATCTGATGCTATTCCGGAGGTTGCTAAATCTGATGTTGCCCCAGAGGTTCCTACGTTTGATGCTATTCCAGAGGTTGCTACATCTGATGGTATTCCAGAGGCTGTTGTACAGCAAGAGAGTCGTCCTGCGGTCACTCCAGATGTCGTTACTCCCATTGTCCCTCTTGTTGTTATCTTTGGTGGTTTAGATAATCCAGTTGTTCTATCTAGCTCTTCAACACCTGCTAAAGTGCATAATGGGGTGTGCATGTTCTTCTTTCTTAGGATGCTTTCTTTCTAGTTTTTTTCCTTGTTGTAGCTCTTTCATTTTTTTTGTTTGATTTGTAGGCTGTTGCAAAAGAAGGTCCTGTTCCAGTATGCGCCTTGTTTTCTGAAGTTAAAACAAAAGATTCAATTGCTGCAGTTCCTGCCAAAGGTTCTATATGCACTTTTTGTTTTGTTTATTTTGCATATCAGTTTCCTCTGTATCTTGAGTTGCTCTGTTTTCAGGTTGTGCATTCTTTTCTTATTTTCAGGTATTTCTCCTTCAAAGTCTAAATGTGATATCACTGATGTCGATTCTTTCGTGTTGCTTTCAGGTATTTGTTTTAGTTATTGTTTTCATGTTCTTTTCTATTTCAGGTATTCATGTGCTTCTTTTAAGTTGAATTTTTGTTTTTATTCTTTGTCTAGATGGCCCTGCTAAGGATTGTAATGAGAAAGATGCTGCTAACGCTTTTGGGATTCCTTCCTTTGCCGAGCTTAATCGTGCTCTTGGTATTCAGTCTCCTTCTAATGTCTGCAATTACACCCCAGTTCATGCTCATGGAAAATCTCCTATGGAAGATACGAATTCTTTTAGAGACCTGTCACCCCTTGTTCCAATTCGCTTGTCGCAATATTTCCGTAATGAGGTTAGTATTTCTTTCTCCTTCATCTTTGTTTTCTTGCATTTTAGTCTCTAAATTCATCTTTATTTGTTTTGTTTGATTTTTTTCTCAAGGGTTTTTTGTTTCTGTAGTTGGGTGATGTCCAGTGTTCTCAGTATGTTGCCTACAGATATCTGAAGTCGTTTAATTCACCTAATGATGAGGTTTGTTGTTGTATTTCCTTTTTTATTGTCGTCTTGTACTAATTTTTTTAAATCTTTAATTGATTCTCTGTTCTTTCTTATTCCCTTTCTTCTAGGATTGTATTGTTATGGTTAATGTCGATCACTCTGATTATTCAAAGCCAACCAATCATGTGAACTTATGTTCTCCTGATGTAATCTTGCAAACTACTCCAAAAGCTGTTGTGAAGGTGGTTCTTACTTTCTGAATGTGTTTAGTTTTTTTTTCTTTTTCTTTTCAATAATGCATTTATCTATTTTTTTCTAGCTAGTTTTTTGAAATTTTATTCAAGCTTTTTTATCTTTATCTGCAGCTCAATGAGGCAGTAGTTGATGTCCATAAAGTTGGTAGCTCAAACTTTGCAGCTAGGTGTCAAGAGCTATCTAGATCAAATGATGTTACTTACAACAAGCTGCACAGTTTTGCTGCCCCTGCAACAAGTTATCGTAATCCTATAAAGGTATAGGTATTTCTTTATTGGTTTTAACTTTTTAAATGCTTGTATTTTGTTTTCATTTTTATTCTTTTTCTTTATGTGTCTGCTTTGTTTGATCTTTTTCCTTCTCATTTTACAGGTTGCTAATAGCCCGGAATTAGAGATCCTGTCAGACACGCCTGTTGTTTCTAGTGCTCATCTTCTAAGGTTCCTGCATGTTCGAAAGGTGCTCCATCATTTCAGCCCCTTGGTGGTTCTACAACTAGTTCTTCTGCAGCTCATGTCCCTCGTAGAATTGTTGTCCCTGGTAGATTCAACTTAGATCCTTATGTTCCTCAAGTGAATCGTTATTCAGTTACTGCTCAAGAATGGCGTAATCATCTTGCAATGGTTCAGATTGCAAGTCATCCAGAGTGGTGCAAGTAAGTTTTCACCATTAGTGATGTTTTTTGGTTTTTGTATGTTCTTTTTTTATGATCCTGATCTTTTTGTATTTCTTGTAGGTACGAGGCTATCCGACATGAAAGAGCTTACTGTAGTTATCGTAATCTTTCTTCACTACAGTTCAAATCTCGCGTAAACAATTTCTTGATCTTGTGTGTGTGTCGATATCTATTCAATGAAGCTCACCCTTCCGTTTCTAAGAAACATTTCTTCTTCTCTTACATTGGTGTAAGTAGTAATAAGCTTCTGTTGCATTTCTTGCTGTCTGTATTTGTTAGTTTTCTTTTTGACTTAGCATTTATTTTTTCTCTTGCTTAGGAAACAATTCTGGATGGTACTAATGCTGAGATTGTTGGTAATGCTTTCAATGGTGCTAATAGCGCTTTTCCTATGTGGAGAAGCAACATGGTAGGTGCTGATTAATATCATAGTTTTATTAAGTCATATTTTTGTGCTTAGTCTCATGTAGCTTTCTACCTAGGTTTATGATGTGTTGTTTGTTTTTGCCAGCTGTACTTCCTTATTTGTAGGTTCAGTCATTGGTTTTCTTTTGTGGTTTGCTTGAAGGAGAAACTGTTTGTCTTCCTCGATTCATTATATGGCGAGTTCTCCGATTTCCACCTAGCCATTCATGATCCGATTGTAAGTTTTTTCTCTGGCTTAATGTTCCCTCTGCAGCTGCCCTTTTGGTTTTTTTCATTAGTTTTATGATTTCTCTTGTTTCCTGTGTTATTTCAGGTTAACAACTTCATCAATCTATGGGACACATATGTGACTCCTATATTGAGGAAGCGTATTGACTTTGAAAATTTCGACATTGTGTATCCTGCGGTCCCTCAGCAAAATAACACGTATGTCAAGCAGTATCTCTATACTCATGGCTGCACTTTACCTTTTCTATTGCTTCTTTCTTTGTATTTTTATTTTTCAGTTTTGATATGTGGCTTAATTGTTGTTGCTCATTATTCTTTTTCAGGTATGATTATGGTGTTTTCTCTGTTATGTACATGAAGCACTGGTCTCCTAGGACTCCAATTGGCAATCTTTTTACGCAAGCTGATATAGATAACATCAGGATCAAGCTCGCAAATGAACTTTATTTCAGCCATTTCAACACTGCTGACAAGTCTCTTGTCACAAACTTCTTTGGTGACGTGAGTGTAGTCTCTGATTTTTTTTATTTGTTTTGCCTTAGTCATGCGTTGATTGTTTATATCTTCTAAGTGTTTTTTGACTAATGTATGACTTTTGTGGCAGGTGCAGAACTAGATAACTTTTTCTATCTTCGGTGGTGATTGAGTGTGAAGGTTTTCCTTGGTGGTCAACTGCAGAGTTTTCTTGATGGTCAACAAGTCTGGAGATGCTTCGGTCTTTTATTAGCTTCTATAGTTTAGGAATGTGTTGCTTTTGACCCAACAATATTATTTGGTGCAAGATTGTTCTAGGTTAATGTACTTTTTGGGCTGACGAGTTGTATCCCTACCTTTGTAACAGTTCAAGACCCTTTGTTATTGGGATTATTTTTTCGCATGTTTTTTTATAGTTTTATGTTGCACTATATTGGTTCATTTAATCAATTTCTAGACCCTTTTCTTGGCTGAAATGATTTTCATGCTGTCTATTGATTCGTACGTATGTTGTAGTCTTTTTTTCTATTGATTTGGCTACATCAAGCTTACATCTGGTATTAAGTAAGTTCTCTCCTCATTATCTACTTTTATCAGTATATAGTAATTGTTTATAGCTACTTTCTACAGTTTTACTCCTTTTTCATTTTGCTTTCTTTAATATTTTTTTGCCTCGTCTTGTTTGTTGCAGTGTTGCTTTATAGTTCTAAAGTTCTTGTGGAAACTTCCAAACAAGCATATCTTATGGCTGTCTATGAAGGTATTTCAATTGTCAGCTTTTTCTTGCTGCATTTTCTTGTCTAGTTTACTTACTGTATTTAGAAGTTTACTCAATATTCTTAAACAAGTTGAATGTTAAACTTTCATCCGTAAGGCACCAATGATGCACAAAATACATGCCTCATAAAGTAGTCTTTTCAAATGCAGTAGGTCGCAAACAATGCTTGCCCTCTTAGTACAAGTCAAGTATTTTTGTTCATAACCATCTCTTATTACAAGTCAACTATTTCCTTTTCCTTGTCGTCTTCCTTGCTTGTCCTTTCTGTCTTATCCTATGTCCTCCTCAGATTCTTGTCCCCTAAGCCTCTGTTTGTTGCTGATTCGTCCATCTTCTTCTTTCCTCGGTTCCTTTCCTTGCTGTCATCCTTCTCCCCACCTGCATTTTTTCTTGTTATTTTTAATTTCTTGAATTAAAGTAAGTGTAGCATAGGGGTACAACATGATTATTAAAATACCTTTCTTTACATTCCTAGGGTTCGACTGCTTTCGTCTGTTGCTTCTGGGTAGATTGTATTGCTTGTCAAGGTTGCTGCAATTCTTGATAGTGTGCTTTTGTGACCCACAGTGCGAGCATTTGTAGAACTTGTTCTGCTTTATTGCTTCGCGAATAGTTAGCATCCTTGGCCTACCCTTTGTTTTGGCTATATCTGGGTCTTGTATTGTCAGTGCCGTGGTTGTCCCCTCTTCACCCCATGTTGTTGGTATAAAAGTGACTGTTCTTGTGGTTACACTCTGACCCTCATCTCCAGTTTCTTCTTCATCATCCATTTCTCGCAATCTTTTCTGTATCCTGTCCAATTCTCCCAGCAGATATTCATACTTCCTCTTCTTCTTTGAAGCTATTGATGCCACATGCACCAATTTCCTTGCTAACACATTGTACCTTAGTGTGGAGTTCTCTACTGCAACAGCTGGTGTCTTTGTAATATCGAGCTTGTAGTCATTTTTCCTCCATCTGTCAATGATGTATTTTTCTGGTATCTTCTCGATGTTGAGATGGATCATTACTCTTAGTATGTGTGAGCACAACAGTCCATCTTTCTGGAATGAACAACAGATGCAGGAGTACTCTTCTTCGTTCAGTCCAATTTACACTAGGTATAACCTTTTCCGGCGTTCTTTTACAGGGTAGTTCTCAGCTTGGGTAACTATGTAGTATTTGTCTTTTTCTTGCTCAAAGACAAGCAGCCTTGTTGTGTCTGCCATTTTATGCTGGAATTTTCTGAATATTCCAAGGTTGTACAACTCATGTGCTTGCCTTTCTATGTTGTATTCAACCAGAAAGCTTTGCTTGCAACCTTCTTGTTTCTAGAAACATGATCACATTCTTCTTCCTTGTCATGTACAACATCAAGAATCCGGTCATACTCTCTCAAAAAGCTGGTAGCACTGAATGTAGCTCCAACCCCTTTTTTGAAGAGGGAATTTGTTCCTTCACTTCTTGCTGTAGTTTGTATGAATGGGAAGAATTTGTCCTTGAAATACACTGGTATGAACTTTTTCCTGTTTTCCCACATGTCGATGAAGTACTTTATGTCATGAACTTTGTACTTTTCAATCATTTCTTGCCAGTGTGTTTCATATTCTTCCACAGTCAAAGAGTTGTCCACAATGTCCTGGAAATCTTCATATAGGCCTTCGTTAGCTTGGAAACATGGCCCAACTTTCTCCTCTGCCTTTTTCTTTATGTGAAACAAGCAGCTCCTATGGATAGCATTAGGAAAGACTTTTTCAATTGCTGCTTGCATAGCCTTGTCCTGATCTGTAATGATCGATATAGGATGCTTGCCTCCCATAGCCATTAGGAATTGTTCAAACAACCAAGCAAATGTTTCTTTCGTCTCGTTGATAATGAAGGCACAAGCAAACAAGTATGTGTTGCCATGCAGGGATATTCCAACAAAGGGTGCAAACGGTAGGTTGTATCTGTTTGTCAGGAATGTAGTGTCGAAACTGATGCAATCACCGCAAATGTAATACATCATTCTTGACCTAACATCTGTCCAGAATAAGCTTCTCACTTTATTCTCTCCATCAAGCTCAAACGAGTAGCAAAACCTAGGATTTTTTGCTTGCTTCTTGTTGAACATTTGCACTACTTCCATCATGTCAGAGTTTGTGATATCTCTGTTTATTGTTGCTGCATAGTTAGTCACATGCTTCTTTGTGTAGGGTAGTTGAGCCATTCCTCCTCTCAAATAAGCTAGGACAGCAACAATCCTTCTTGTTTCTAGGTTTGTATGCTTCAAAACCCGTATCAAGCACTTCTCTTCATCTGACATGTACTTATGTGACCTGAAGAATCTACTGTTTGGTGTTAACTCATGGTTGTGTTCGAGTTGTTGTCTTGTAATTTCCCAAAAACCTCCTTTCTCTGATATGACCACCACGACTTTACAATCAGTTTTAGCAATGATTGTACTTTTTCTCATGGGTACAACGCTTTCTGCCTCTATTTCTTTTATCTTGCCCCACTTGTTGCACTTCATAGTGATCCTTGTCACCTCATTGTTCCTCTTTTTGCTTGTTGTTCTGGAGATTGCTACAGTAGCCACTGAAAAGCCTGCTAGTTTTGAGTAGAAATTTATAGATTCTTGAGCTTCTTCTTTTGTTTTGAATTGCATGCCTAAATGTGGCTTGAAATTACTGTTGGTGTTCATCAGATTGCCTTCTGATGCAGCATCTTGTTCATTTTGTAGGAATCTCTCAACGTCTTCTTCATCGAGGAATCCATCATCTCCGTCTTGTTCAAGTGAGTGTTCTGGTTCTTTTATTTCTCCTTCTTCATTGCTACAGCATGTGCTTAACTTTGTTTTAGCTGCTGCTCTTCTTATGTCAACATCCTCAGGCTCCTGCAACTTTAGGTTTTTGTGTTAGTTTTTTTCCTGATGTAATGTCTCAACTTTCTCATATGTTCATCGTTTGTTCTTTCTAAAGTTTTTGTAGTATGTACCTATTGCAGATTCATGTTGTAGAACAGGCCTGTGTCCATGGATTAGATTCTCCTCCACCATCTTCACTTGCTGCCACTTCGTGATGCAAGTCTCCCTCAAATGTCTGCAAAGTTTTTGAACAGGTTAGTGTAATGAATGTTACTGCGTTTCCTTTGGTATTTTCTTGTAATTCTCATTCAGCAGATATCCTTGTTTACCTTGGTGTCTATTGTTGTGGTGAAACTATCATCTGCTTTGGTCCTGGAGTTTTGCTCAATAGTTCCCATAATTTTCGTCGATGCATCTCCTGAATGTACCTGCATGGTTCATCCCAACTTATAATTCAGACTTTTTCGGTATCATTTTGTGCAGTAGTTGATTTTTTGTATTTCTTTGATTTTTTTACCTTGTATATAATGTCAGATTGAAGGAGGGCAGTGAATGAAAATGTGTCCTGTAGCATAATCATGTTAGCATTTTTTTTCAAACTTAATGAACAAACAAGCTCATGCAGCATAAACGAAGGGGGAAAGTTTAGCTACTGCATATTACATTGAGTATCAGTTCTTCCTGTGATAGTCTCAGTAGGTCGTCTTCAGCTAGTGCCCTCATCGTGCTCCTGTCCTGAACCCATTTTAAAAAAGTAGAATGTCAGTGTTAGCATAATCATGAGCAACCAAGCGTTTTTTTAGGAATAGAATGTGAGATGCAGGTACTTTCAATGTTCCATGTCCTTTTTTGTTTGTGATTTGATTATTTACTCTGGAAGATCCTAGTAGTTCCCTTTTTAGAAGCACATGCATTTTGCAGTAGTTTTTTCACTGGAAATTTCCTGGAAATTACAAGTTACTTACATCAGTTTTTACTGTGGGATTTTACTGGAATTTTGCATTGTAAAACATTGTAATTACACTGGAAACTACTTACAGTAGTTTTTTACTGTTGGATTTACAGTGTGAAAACATGGTTTTACACTGGAATTGCATTGGAATTTACAATAGAATTTAATAGGGATTTACACTGGAATTTGTGATATTTTCACTATAAATTGTTTATTTTCCCACAGTAATTGCATTGTAAAACATTGTAATTACATTGGAAACTACTTACAGTAGTTTTTTACTGTTGGATTTACAATGTGAAAACATGGTTTTACACTGGAATTGCATTGGAATTTACAATAGAATTTAATAGGGATTTACACTGGAATTTGTGATATTTTCACTGTAAATAGTTTATTTTCCCACAGTAATTTACTAGGGATTTGCACTGGTAATTGTGTTATTTTCCCACTGTAAATATCTGTGGGATTTTACACTGTAAATCATGTTTTCACAGTGGAAATTTACACTAGAATTTACCAGGGATTTTTCTCTGGAAATTGTTTATTTTCCAACTGTAATCTTCTGTGGGATTTACATCTGCTTACACTACAATGTAAATTATCAGCTACTTACACTACAATGTTCTAGGGATTTATACTGCAATTTTGTTTTTACTGTTCCAATGTTTTCAATGTTAATTTCTAGGAGAACAACAGATGTTAATCTATCTTCTTTTTGTTGATGAAGGAAATTCCTCCATGATCTGTTCATGCGAGAGGTGGAGAGAGAAGTTGGGACTTTTTTTGCTGACCTGTGGATCCTGTTGCTGATTCCTCTCTGGCGATCTTCTTTCTTGCCGCTCGTCGGGTACAACATCTTCTTCAACTCTTTTCTGATTTGTGTTTGACCTCCCTTCTTCTTCTACCCCATCGCCCATGGCGGCCTCCATGTTCTCCCTTCTTTTTCCTCTTCCCCTTTCTGATTCGCTTGTCTGTGTTGTTAGGTGAGATCTGTCCAGTGGTTTGCGGGAGGGGTTTGGCCCTTTTTCGTGCGTTGCAAGTTGGGCACATGTTGTGTGGGCCTGGAGGTCGGGGTAGGTCCCTGATTTTTCTGGAGTGGGTTGTTGTCGAGGGTTACCGGGTCAAGTATTTTCCCCGACCCGTTTTGGCTGATCTTTTTCCGCTGTTGGCTGTTTTTGTGGCTGTACAGGTGTCATCTGTTCATTTGTTAGGTTTTTTTGAATGTTATTGAAATGGAAAACACTCAAATGTCAAATAGACAGTCCCTATGAATATGCTTCCGTTTAGAAAAGGAGATATTTTGGGAGTTTGGGTAGGCAATTATGAATAGAGATCATCATCCATCAAATGTGTACTTCTACACGATCCTACTGCCCTGACCGACCGGTTATCAATCATACGGCGGTTGGAGAATTCGTAGACCGTAGTCCCCCGGTGGGTCAAGTTGTATTCGGCAATTGTGGGACTTGTTGGAAGCAGATTCTTTATCTGGGATATCAATCAATCAAAAGCCGCCTCAGAGACGAATATCAATCAAAGTGTTAGGTACTCTTGTATTTTATCCATGATTTACTAGTGAACTTCGTCAAAGAAGAAGAAACTGATGTGTCTGTTGCCAGTTACCCGACAAGATGTTAGTATAGATTAGCAAAAGAGATCGTGCGTTGCAACGGGAGAGAAAACATAACACACGCTCTTAACTCAACAACCATCACTCAAGACCACAATTGGTCCATCTCCTTTATTTTTGCGAAGCATCATATTTGTGTTGCCGCTTATCCTCATTCTCATCCTCGCCGGCGATGGCCTCGGTGTTCACAAAAAACGTGTGTTGAATATGGTTAATCCTAAGGCGTCTCTCTCTCCCTCTCTCCTCCCTCCCTCTCTTTTCCTCTCTCTCTCTCTCTCTCCCTCTCTCTCTCTCGCGCGCGCGCACGCTCACTTTCTCTCACTCTCGTGATGGGAAATCTGTTGTTATCCCCTGCGACATTTTTCAGAGGTATGCATGTGTAGTTATCGATGTTTTCTTTTCCGTATATGGTTATAGTGGGGTGTTTATTTGCAATCCGGATCGCCGCCGGTATGAAAAAAAAACAAATCTTGCGCTATAAATTATAAGTTTGCTTCCATAACAATATTTTAAAAATATTTAACAGGTAAAATTAACATCATATTTAGATTCCACATATTTTTCTAATAAAATTTCATATATAATATGTTAAAATCGAAGTTACGGTTTAAAAGATACAAATAATTTAGAAAATCATTTGGTTTGACTCAAATATATTCAAAAATAATATTTAAAAATACTTAACAGGTAAAATAATCTCATATTCATATTCTACATATTTTTCTAATCAAATTTCATATATAACATGTTTAAATCGGAGTTACAGTTTAAAAGATATGGATGATTTTTAAAAAACATTTGTTTGACTTAAATATGATCCGCGGATGAATTACCTAAAACATCAGGGGGTTCGAAAAATGTAAAATAACGGTTCGCGTGTGACTTAAATCCGGACGGCGGGTTGATTTCAAAAAAAGACAGGGACTTTTGTGTAAAATATGAAAATAACGATTCGTTTTAATTTAAAACGGGACTGCGGGTTCAATTCTCTGAAATAGAGGGTGAGGGAGTCCTGGATTAGGGGGTGTTCGGGTAGCCGGACTATACCTTCAGCCGGACTCCTAGACTATGAAGATACAAGATTGAAGACTTCATCCCGTGTCCGGATGGGACTTTCCTTGACGTGGAAGGCAAGCTTGGCGATGCGACATTCAAGATCTCCTACCATTGTAACCGACCCTGTGTAACCCTAACCCTATCCGGTGTCTATATAAACCGGAGGGTTGTAGTCCGTAGGCAATCAACTCCATACACAACAATCATACCATAGGCTAGCTTCTCGGGTTTAGCCTCCTTGATCTCGTGGTAGATCTACTCTTGTACTACCCATATCATCAATATTAATCAAGCAGGAGTAGGGTATTACCTCCATCGAGAGGGCCCGAACCTGGGTAAAACAAAGTGTCCCCTATCTCCTATTACCATCCGGCCTAGACGCACAGTTCGGGACCCCCTACCCGAGATCCGCCGGTTTTGACACCGACATTGGTGCTTTCATTGAGAGTTCCTCTGTGTCGTCGCTTTTAGGCCCGATGGCTCCTTCGATCATCAACAACGATGCCGTCCAGGGTGAGACTTTTCTCCCCGGACAGATCTTCGTCTTCGGCGGCTTCGCACTGCGGGCCAATTCGCTTGGCCTCCTTGAGTAGATCGAAAGCTACGTCCCTGGCCATCAGGTCAGGTTTGGAAGCCAAAACTACACGGCTGACATCCGTGGGGACTTGATCTTCGACGGATTCGAGCCACAGCCAAGCGTGCCGCACTGTCTCGATGGGCATGATATAGCTCTGCCACCGAACAGGGCCTTGGAGGCCGCACACGCATCGGTTCCGACCATTGATTCGGAGCCTACTGCACCGATCGAGGATCAGCGGTTAGACGCTGCCTCAGAGGCTGCGATCTCAGAGGCGATTGAGCTGAACTCCAGCCCCGCACTCCGCATGGCCCGTGACTCCGAGGAGACGGATTCCTCTCCGAGCTCCGAGCCCCCCGCGCCCCTGCCGATCGAATCCGATTGGGCGCTGATCATGGAGTTCACCGCCACGGACATCTTTCAGCACTCGCCCTTCGGCGACATCCTGAATTCTCTAAAGTCTCTCTCTTTATCAGGAGAGCCCTGGTCGGACTGCGGTCAGCAAGGTTGGGATACGGACGACGAAGAAATTCAAAGCCCACCCACCACCCACTTCGTAGCCACTGTCGACGACTTAACCGACACGCTTGACTTCGACTCCGAAGACATCAACGGCATGGACGACGATGCAGGAGACGAACAAGAACCAGCACCTGTAGGGCGCTGGAAGGCCACCTCGTCATATGACATATATATGGTGGATACTCCAAAAGATGGAGATGGCGATGGAACAGTGGGGGATGACGCCCCCAAGAAACAGCAAAAGCGCCGACGTCAGTGGCGCCGCTCTAAATCCCGCCAAAGCAAAAACAGTGATTCCGGCACGGGAGAAATACTACCCCGGATAGCGCCGAAGAACACCCACCTCAGCAAAATTCGGCACAGGAAGATGGAGAAACCAGACCTCATGAAAGAGTGGCAGACCGAGAGGTCGAGGATGATAACTATACGCCTCCCTCCGAAGCCGAGGCTAGCCTCGATGACGACGAATTCGTCATACCATCAGACCCCACCGAACAAGAGCGTTTTAAACGCAGGCTTTTAGCTACGGCAAGCAGCCTCAAGAAAAAGCAGCAACAGCTTAGAGCTGCCCAAGAATTGCTAGCTGATAGATGGACTGAAGACCTCGCGGCCGAAGAGTATGAACTCGAACGCCCCTCCAAGAGTTACCCGAAGCGCAGGCCGCTACCCCGATCAGAGGAGGAAGCACCTACATCACCAGCGCATGACATGGCAGACCGGCCACCTCGCGGCCGCGACAAAGAGGCATGTCGGCCCTCCACCCAAGCCATGCCCCGACGCTGCTCAATTAAGGCACGGGAAAATGCGCCCGACCTGCGAGACATACTGGAGGATAAGGCAAGACAAATAAGATCGATCTACGGATCGCGCAGGCGCCCTACGGCATGTGACAATGATCTTCACTCCGGATACAACAAATCCGGCCGGGCCGAACACAACAGACATAGCTCTTCCGAGCTGCGTCGTGATATAGCCCAGTACAGAGGCGCTGCACACCCGCTATGCTTCACGAATGAAGTAATGGATCATAAAATCCCAGAGGGTTTCAAACCCGTAAACATCGAATCATACGATGGCACAATAGACCCGGCGGTGTGGATCGAGGATTATCTCCTTCACATCCACATGGCACGTGGCAATGATCTACACGCCATTAAATACCTCCCGCTCAAACTTAAAGGACCAGCCCGGCATTGGCTTAACAGCCTGCCAGCAGACTCAATCGGTTCTTGGGAGGACCTGGAAGCCGCATTCCTCGACAACTTCCAAGGCACTTACGTGCGACCGCCGGATGCCAACGACTTAAGCCACATAATTCAGCAGCCAGAGGAATCGGCCAGACAATTCTGGACACGGTTCCTAACAAAGAAAAACCAGATAGTCGACTGTCCGGACGCAGAGGCCCTAGCAGCCTTCAAGCACAACATCTGCGACGAGTGGCTTGCCCGACACCTGGGACAGGAAAAGCCGAAATCCATGGCAGCCCTCACGACACTCATGACCCGCTTTTGCACGGGAGAAGACAGCTGGCTAGCTCGCAGTAACAACTTATCAAAGAACCCTGGTAATTCGGATACCAAGGACAAAAGTGGCAGGACACGTCGGAATAAGCAAAAACGCCGCGTTAACAGCGACAGCAATGAAGACATGGCAGTCAATGCCGGATTCAAAGGCTATAAATCCGGTCAGCGGAAAAAGCCATTCAAAAAGAATACTCAGGGCCCGTCCAGTTTGGACCGAATACTCGATTGCTTGTGCCAGATACATGACAGCCCCGAAAGGCCAGCCAATCACACTAATAGGGATTGTTGGGTGTTCAAGCAGGCAGGCAAGTTAAGGGCCGAAAACAGAGACAAGGGGCTGCACAGCGACGACGAGGAGCCCAAGCCGCCGAACAACAATGGACAGAAGGGCTTTCCCCCACAAGTGCGGACGGTGAACATGATATACGCAACCCACATTCCCAAGCGGGAGCGGAAGCGTGCGCTATGGGACGTATACACGATGGAGCCAGTCGCCCCAAAGTTCAACCCATGGTCCTCCTGCCCGATCACTTTTGATCGAAAGGACCATCCCACTAGCATCCGTCATGGCGGCTTCGCCGCATTGGTTCTCGACCCAATCATCGACGG